CTTTATAAAATGAATATATAATAATAGATAGCTCCTTAGTCTATCAGGAATTTTATCTAGTATGTATGGTGTGAATTTATAAGTCTTTTTTCATCTTCTACCTTGAAACGCATAACTGTCTTCAACAGGCCACTCCTTAAACATTACTAATCTTGTGACGAGGGATGTTCTGCATGTTCTCGGTAATTCCTCAAGAAATGTTACCTCCCTCGGGCGTAATATGTGTAATTTCTCCAAGATTAGGAGAAATGCGAGGCAGGATGCACGTAGTAATCTCGTCCCCAACAACCACCTTGCAGAACATGGTGATACATGTGGGGTATTAGTTACAGTAACGCGGTAATAAACATAAATGCCTGCGCTGCAAATTTGCAACTGTGCTGATTACTTAACTAAAGGCTCTGGGTATACATGTACCAGTTTGCCTGGAAGGGTTTTACCAAAGTTTCAAGGAAATCTAGTTGTGAAAACTTTCAGCCTACCAGGCCACAACAATTTAATCAATTGGTTCTTGGATTTGCCCTCTTCATTTTTTTATTCGCAAAAAAAAGTTGAAGAAAGTCCTTGTCTCCCCACTTGTTACAGTTTTTCCATTTATCAATGCAGGACTTAGATTCATTGGTTGAAAGCAAATGCATGATGTTTAGTTTAGTCTAACAAACTACTGCACTGTTTTTCTGACTCAAGTCAAATACATTTCATATGTATGGTGAGCAGGTCCTCCAGCTCTGTTCTTCTACATAATTTAACCTAGCACCACGGGGTGTCTGCTGCAGCACCAGTTACCATGGTGACAGACTTCTAGTCCAGGTCATTGACCTTATTTGTTTGGAAGAAGAGGAAGAAGAAGAAACAGAGCAAACTATGGTTTCCTTCTGTGAAGGTAAACATATATAATGAATACTCACCGTCCTTCCTATAGTAGAGAATTTCCACCTGCTTTTCCTCCGTAGACGACAGGGCCAGACGCACCTGTCGGATGGCTTTGGCGTTGGTCTTAGGGCCATGGAGGAACTCACACCAGCACGGTTTCTGGGGGGAAGGAGAGAAACAGAAGTTAGGAAAAGGAAAGTGATATTGATCCAGTTTTATTTCACTGAAGAAATAATCTTCCACTGGTCATAACAGAGAAGACAGATGCTATGTACAGTTTTTAGAGGTTCATTGTACCGGGGAAATTCATGTACACACATACCAAGTAGTCAGCACAATCACAATTTCAGCACCAAGGACAGAACAGCTATTGAAATTATTTTGTAACATGTTCAATTCCAAACATATCTCTATAGGTCACATGTTTTGTTTTGTACCTTTGAACTCTTGGCAGCTTTTTGACACACATATGTACCAAAAAAATTGTGACAAGTTTCAAACAGGGCCAATCAAAAGTGCAATGCAAATCCTGATTTTTCTGCCTGGGAAGACTCTCATTGGAACCTTAAGACTTTTCCCTAAGCATAGCAATTCTTTCCTTTCCAATTCAACTTACTGCTTTGACTAAAAGACATTTTAAGAGACGCAAAGCAACTCTTCAATTTCAATCAACTGTTTGTAGCTTTACAGATCTTTTCTAACTGCTTCAGACCTGTCACCTAGATATAGAACTATCCAAGACAAGAAGGTTGTTAGAGCCAAGTTTACTGAAAGGTACAACCTGACTGTGTGGCAACAAGTTTCCAGGATGGATACAGCTGATGACAAAGATGGAGGGGGCGATCCAGCCAAACCAGCAAGTGTACAAAAGTCACCTTTTGTGGAACCAGACAACATTTGTCATCTATTCTCTCTACGTCAGCTGCTACTTAGCCACGATGCATCTAAGTCTGAGCTGATTAATCTGAAGTGAGGTTGTGTGGCGTAGCGGCAGCGTGCGCGACTCGGAATCAAGAGGTCCCGGGTTTGAGTCCTGACATGCCACCGATCTTGTGCCCTTGGGAAAGGCACTAAACACAACTTTCCCCACTAAACTCAAGTGAAAATGAGTATTGTCTGGCCTATAGTTGTTTCTATGTGAGGAACACAACACCAGCAACAGCTGCCTGTGTCCCACGTGTATTGTACTGTTGCAAAAACGGTCTTAGGACTATTAAATGAGGTTATTGACCTCTTCTTCACATGATATATGAAACTTGTATCACTGTTCATGATATATGAAACTTGTATCACAGATATGATGCATATAGGTCCTAGCTGATTAATCTGAAATGCTCTCAGGACTATCAAATGAGGTTATCGACCTCTGCTTCACATGATTTATGAAACTTTTCTGTATCACTGTTCATATTCCGTATGGACTCCTTTCATGGTTCTTCTGAGGATATGGAAAATCCCAAGAGGTCACATAAAGACTACCCTACATAGATTGAAGGATGAATCTAAATTCCAAGGGTACTAGCAGATGAAATTGATTTTATGGAAATCCATAACTATTTAATATTATTTATCTCCCTGTACTGAGGCATTTTTTAACTTTCCAAAATAAAAAAAATCAAGGAAATGAATATAAAACAAAACGTAAAGAACAGACATAATAATTTTGAAGCCAGTAAATTTGTAGTAAACGGAAAAAACACCACAGGTGGCTGGAAAAAATGTATCATGTATCATTCTAACATTTTATTATATTTTCAGCAGTTCAAGTGAGTACTGCAACAGTAATTTACACATTAAAAGGTTAAACATCATTTTTGGATATCCCTGTCCTTGCAATATCCAGTATCTAGATCCAGTGTTATATATGGGTGCCATAAATAGGATTTTGAGCCTGAGTGCACTCGGCACATCCTCGGCTATCTCTGTACTTCATAAGCCTGTGGGATGGCTCTCTCTGATGGGGCTGGATGATACCATTATGACGCCACATGAAAGTTTTATAAGCAGTTTTCTGCAACTGGGGCAAAGTTTGCATGTCAGCAGAGCCGGCCTGACGGCATGTTTGATAAACAGTCTGCTGGGATCATTTCATTTTCAAACATGCGACAGAAAACGATCTTTGGAACCGACGCACTTCACATGAAGATGCTTAGATTACAAAATTTATGGTGGATCAAACATTCTGACCTAATGTTGCAGTGTTGTGTGGTGCAGGGAGAAGCATAGAATATAGGGGAGGGGAGCACATTAGAAGACTGAAAAATTACATTACAAATATTTGCAGTCTCCAGTGGATACCATTTTGAAATGACATTTGTGTTGCCTATATATTAAAATAAATGTGTTAACTGTTAACTTAACAAAAAGTTATCTTAGTGACAAAGTTGAAAAAGTCTGGCAAAACCTTTATAATTGCAGGTATGAAGGTCTCAATTATTGAGATACAAACTTGCAGTAATTTTGGCACCCGACATACGTCCCAACTCCCCCACACGAGACATCAGTTTCAGATGCCCCCAAATTAACCTCCCCTGCCTCATCAGAGCTTCAGCACCAGGGTACTCATCCATGCATTACACCTTCTGCCCTGCTGACCTACCCTAAAGGTCAGCAGCAGCTAATGTTACGTTGCTGGGGAGGGTCTGTCTGGTTCACTGCTTCTCGTGTAGAGAGGTAATGCATAGGACGAGGGAGGGACTTGAGAAATAAAGTGGAGGAAAGTGAAAAGTTTATTTGATCTTTACGAAACCAAATTTGAACTTGATCTTTAAGTGGATCCTCTGATGAAGGTTGATGAGTTTGACTGAAAATTTATGGTGAGTTTTCTTTTGGGTTTAACTTTATTATGATCTTGAACCAGTTTAGCTCACTGAAAATCTCATCTTCCCAATTATCATGACAGAAAGGATAGCCAATATGTGTATTATGTACAGTATAAACAGGTCCACTGTATAATATTATTTAATATTAACTGCCGTGAGTCGTGACGTCAATTAAAAATATTGTATTAAAATTCAATTTCTTATGGTTCAGTCTAATAGTTTGAAAAGTTTCTATCAACACATATTGAATATTTACATTTAGAGATTTTTTATGGCTTAACTACAGTGCATGTGTTGCAATGGTCCCTCCTGATTAGCCATACATACATACAAAGCAAGTGCCAAATGCCACCCAACAAAAAGGGCATAATTTATGCAACAAATCATCATCATATGCCGAACACTGCTCAAATTCTTAGGATACGGTTACTATTTAGAATTATAGTTTTAAAAGTTTCTGTTAACGCTTAAAGATATACAATTTAAGATTTTTCAATGGTTTCACTACATGTATGCATGTGTGTTTCAATGGTCCCTCCCAATTAGCAAGTCTAGCACCAAACACCAACCCTGCAAAAGGGCATATGTATGCAACAAATGATCATTATACATCAAACCCTGCCGTACATCTTCCCAGTCCTCCAGTTCACTGAAGAAGGTCATGCGATGCCGTTACAAGCGGCTAATGGTGGAAACCTTTTCAGCCTGCAGATGATGCCTGTCATTAGCCTGTGCTGTAAGGCTTATCCCAGCATCTGTGTGCATACATATGCTCCTGCAGAGTGGCTGTTATGGTGCCAGGATAGCCTTTATCAGTTCTGTAATGTATTCCTCTGGTAAGTCTCTTCTGTGAGCTGGACACAGTTTGTAGAGGTTATTTGAGAGGGTCAGAAGTTGTCTACGAATGCTTTTTTCATTCTCATTTGTTAATTAAAAAAGAATTGGGCAAAAATACAAATATGTTTAGGCCTCGTATTTGATATGCTTAGGTCCTGTGTTTGATATGCTTTAGAGGTCCTGTGTTCGAGAGAACCGCACCTCAAGCACGTTAAAGATAGCACTGCACATGAAAGTGACAGAGAATCCTTAGCTCATATTGAACTGATTTTCATTGTGATAAAGAATCCCATTGGTAGGTAGAGAAGAGGAGGGATCCATCCTGGTGTGAGTGGACTACAACAGTCTTACACTGCTTGTACGTACAGTACAGCATGCACAAAGCTGGTGTGTTTCACTTAAAGTTAGTTTACATTGCATTGATACTAATTGTTCATCCAAAAAGACTCAATTCAACACTTCAATAAACTTTTGATAAACTCTTATAAGTTGCATGAGTTGCCCTACACATTTGTTGTACATAATTCATTACATATTGATGTGCTTTTAAGAAAAAGCAAACTGCCGACAAGCAAACAAACAAACAAACAAACAAACAAACAAACACTGACCTGCATGAGTTCGGCCCGTGAGTACCCACACAGCTCACAGAACCCATCGTTACAACAAACAAACAAACAAACAAACAAACACATACCTGCATGAGTTCGGCCCGTGAGTACCCACACAGCTCACAGAACCCATCGATACAACAAACAAACAAACAAACACATACCTGCATGAGTTCCGCCCGTGAGTACCCACACAGCTCACAGAACCCATCGTTACAGAAGATGATGGCCAGATTTTCCACCTGTGCATTGGCAATGATGAAGTTACGATCTGCAAAGAGAAAGGCACAAAATTTTTATTAACTGATGCAAAATGATATGCAAAATAATTGCCAAATTAATCTGTGCATTGGCAATGATGGAGTTATGATCTGGAGAGTCACAAAGATTTTTGATAACCACCAAAAACTGACGAGATGCAAAATAATTGCCGTCTTATTCCAGAAAATCACAGCTCTATAAGAAATACAAAGAAACTATCCATATCACTTTACAACATGAAAAAGTCACATTGCAGAAGATGAATCCACTTGTTAATCAATATTCTGAATTCAATTTATTAGATTAATTAGCCAGGATGTCAGTACCAAGGACATCAACATAACAATAATTTATCATTTCAACATCAAAACAATCAGCACCAGGGACAGATCAACATATGATATTAGCAGATTTTTGTTTGTTTGTTTGAACTTTTGTTTATTTGAGAAGCTCCAATCAACCTGCTGGCTGCCTTTTATTGAGGTCATGAGGAAAGAGGTAAGGGTTAGGCAAATGTATATCATATTATAACAAAGATTCATTTTAGATCTGTTAAAGTCCTAATAAATCTACACACAAGGGCTTTATGTCCCCATCTGAAAAGACTGATGCAACCCCTCACACC